ATAATGTCATACAGCTGTTCTCTTACTTCGGCTTCAGCCGAGAGAATTTTATGAGCAGTACACAATGAAAAACTGTTTAGTTGCAGAGATAAAATTATTTGTATTACGGCAAAGCACACTACAGCTATCTGCTTAGGGAAGAGATGCCTTCATGGAGGACTTTAAGAGAAGCAGGTTCATATTCATATTACAGACATGGAAGAAAACTATAAAAATTTATGCAATCAGTCTAGTCTGTTAGAATTTCAAACTGGGTTGGCTTAATTACAAGAAATGCATAGCAACTGGTTAAGAGGGATAAATTTTTACTATTAAACTCTGAATCAAACGACTGATGAAAGTTTATTATAACCAGATCAAGTGTAATGAGTAAAAATGTACCATTATTTCATTGAGTTACAGCATATTAATTCACAGATTTTTTCAGATTATTCAATAAATGTAAAAAATTTTATCCTTTAACTGAAATATTTAATATGTGAAAAATAAAACAGTACTCTAGGTCAAACCTTTAGTATAAAGGGAAAAGCAAAGTTGAGAATTTCTTTTTATTCATTTAATAAAGCAGCAAGTTTTAACTATTTTAAAATTTGACAGCTCTCGTAGTTTGTGCTTTCATTTGACAGATACCATTTGATTAACAGACTCAAAGCAGTTCTGAACATTTCCATTATCAACAATTAAATGTGTGAAGAAAATTTTTCAAAGAGAATTACTTCATTCTTAAAATATATAAAAACCATTATAAAAATCCATGCAGCTGGAAATTATCATATTAGTACTCATTATTAAATAAAGCTTGATAGTTTAAGTGATTATATGTTTTTATTCACATAAAAAATTTTAAGTAAAAAAAAAAAAAAAAATTCAAGCAATAATTGAAAGAAACCTGTAAAAGTTTGGATTATTTTTTTATGCATTACTATACCATTTTAAAATTTTGCAAAATTGTTCAGGTATGTTTTAGTCCAAATGGGCATTAGCCCATAAAGGCCATTAGTCTCAAAATGGCATTTTACATTGAAACACTTTTCATACTGTTGCCACCAAATGTTATTGGCCTCTATATTTAAAGAAACAAAATAATAAAAAACCTACATGAATATATGCATGTTCCTGCACTGTGAAAAAACAAAGGTACTAGAGTCATTAAATTCTGAATAACATAGTCCTTTACCCAAACATGAGCACCTGGAAGCCCAAATTTGAAATTTCGAACTTGTTTTATTGTCAATGTAAAACTTTAATGAATTTTTGACAAAAAAACTCAACAATTTCAAAGCGAACAGTGGCAACACTGTGGGGAATAAAACATTTTAATCTCTAGCACACGACACTGTCTATGGGAAATTCTAAAGATGTACTGTTTTTAAATATCTTTAGCACAATTTGGCATTAGCCCAAATGCTCTCGAAATGTGTAGTTTTTTCTTTTAATTTTGAGTATATATCATAGAAGGTACAACCAATCAAATAATTTTATGAAGACATGCCAGTCTTCTAGAAACATCGTACTGTATAACAGCATCAATAGGTAAGGTTATTATTTTGTCTTTGTTAGTATAAATACACATTTTTTAAAATGTTGGAAAAATGCAACGTCAGTTCAAAGCAGTGTCTTTATAAATGTACACAGATTGTCATAGATAAATGGCATTATTTTTTACAGTTTCCACAAAACAACTTCCTAATAATGAATACCCAAAACAATGGTTTTTAATGTTGAATGAAATATTATAACTTATGAAGGAATTAAATGAATATAATGTTTCAAAACTTTCATCAGATGTTGAATGTCAAAGTGAAATAGATTTAGTAATGATTCCCCCAGAACCAGACATGGTAAACGATAAGGAATGTATTGATGATGATGTGTTAGATAATAATTTGTCAATACTGAAAGATGCATCATGAGAGATCAAGATTTTTTCATCAACAAATATATATATATATAAATGTATCAAATCCATCAAAAATAATAAAAAATTTTGTCCCATATAAAAATAAATTACATGGAAAAACTGTTCTCTATACATAGTGCTACCTGTTGACAAAAATGCGTTAGTATGTGCAGCAATGACACATTCTATGTAAACTAATATCAAACAGAAATTATATTTAGCCGATACTAGTGCATTGGATAAAACCAAAAACTGGATTAAGTTAATCTGTATTTAAATATCGATTTCACATCGTACGAGATTTTTTTCAACACATCTTTATATAGATGAGCAAATGGTACCCTATTTTGGCAGACATTCATGCAAAACGTTTCTCAAAGGAAAACCCCTTTGTTTCAAGCACACTGGTTTTCATGTTCCTATTGAAGAATACATATATCATTTTGATATACATTCAGGAAAACCTTCAAAGGCATTGACTGATCTTGAAGTAAGCAGAGATGTTGTAACAGATCTTTTAAGTGAAGTGGAAGTTCCTTCAGTTTGATAAGTATATTTTGACAGCTATTTTACATCACACCTAATGTTGTCGGAATTGAACGTGCTGAAATTTCATGCAATTAGAACAATTCTTAAATACAGGTTAGGAAACTGTTCTATTATAATGTATACAAAATCGAGAAAGAAGAATGTGGAACATATGACACGGCATTTGATAAAGAACAGGACATTGCAGTAATTCAATGAAATGATAATTCCATCACTGTTGTGACAACCAACTTTGATACAATTTATCTACCCTCAGTAGCCAAGATGTACTCAAAAAATGAAAACAAACATGTAACTGTAAAACAACCTAAACTTATTAGAAACTACAACAATGGCAAGGAATTTTGTAAAATTTTATTATGATGTATACTGACTGCAAGTAAAACATTACAGCCTATTTTTATGAATTTTATTGGCATAGCTAACTCAAATGTGTGGAAACTTTATAAGACTGCAGTAGACACCAGAATTTCCCTATTAGATTTTAAAGAAAGTTTTGTGCTATATAATATTATATATATTTTACTTTTCAACTACATATTTATTCCTCAAAAAAGAATCATTAAACTTACTTACAAAGGGGTTTGTTTTGCTCTGGTGGGAATTTCGTGGCAATCTCTCCGAGAATGTTCAAAGTATTGTTTCTTCAACCATTCTGTGGGAAAACAGGATTTGTGGGTTTTCTGCATTCCTGCAGAAATTTTTCAAGCGTCTTCTATTGTAGGCAAGTATATAATTTTAAACTGGGCTTAATTCTAATACACGGTACACATGACATTTGGCAACATTATGATGAGCAGTAAACAAGTCATTTTGGTATTGGTGACAATTTTAAAAATCATGCCAAGTCGTATCTTATATTAGGATTTTACCTAAAACTTTACAAAAAATTATCATGATTTTTCCATAAAAGACACTGAAAGTTAAGACTACAACAATGAAACAAAGAATGTATAAGAAAATGTCAATGTTTCTTGTTAAAAATGAAGAACCATCAAAAGTATAATTAACAGTGTTTGGTGCATTTTGAAATTTTAGCGATTTTTACCATGATTGTGCCGGCCAGATGGTATATTGATTAGGAGAGCCTGACTGCGACACCGAAGGGCCCAAGTTTGAATTCTAGAGAAGGCATGGATGTAAAATTATCTGTCTTCATGGGAGGTAATGGTGGCCACCTATTAGGTGCCACCACTTCTGGCCTTAGGAGTGGCCACAATGCCGTTATAGGCAAGTGCCCACCATTGGAAAATGAAAACTATGATGGTTGCAATAAAGTATCAACATATGCATATGCAAGATTCAAAAGCTATAGCCGAAAGATTACATGGTAAAAGTTTACAATCGGGTGCCCCTTGTTTCTTGGCGATTCTTTTTTGACGTTAAGATTAGCACCAGGAGGGCACAATTTCAAGATGGCCGCTAAACAAAACCAAATTAAGAAGTCAAGGAATTGTACAAACTCTGTGTCTATGTACACATCGATCTGTTTTCACTTAAAAAAATATCCTAGAATTACACAAATTAGGCATTGTGCACTGCCTTAAACTTGTCCATGTACACATCAATCTATTTTCATTTAAATAAAATCAGGAAGCTAAAACAAAGTTAAAATTAACATGGTAACCAGAAGTGAGGTTTCATCGCCAAAATTTTTTAAAAAATTGTCGCTAATCAAATGGGCACCCAATTCTACACTAGAGCCGATTTGGGATTAAATGACAATTTTAAAGTTTAAAGCACTTGAAATATATATGTCTGACCCATCAGTAGTTGGTAAATTACAGCATTTTCAATTCCAGGCAGTGGAAAACAAGTTGCACAGGTGTTTTTTATAATTTTTGTAGTAAAAATGCAAAGTTACTACTAGTTTTGCTTTACTAAAAAATTTGCTAAAAAGCAGAGCTCTTACATATTTTTACATAACAAATTAACCGTTTCTGTATAAATTCCAGAAGCTACAAAAAATTAAAACAAATTTTATCTGCTTGATAATAAAGCATATTTACACTACATGTTAAAACACAAAAAAATTTCAATCTACTTTAAAATATCTCTGCCCTGAAAATTTATTACAATTTATTTGTTAATTTAATGAAAACAAATCTTATTATTTACAGAACACCCTATACATTTAAAAAAACTCAATTCACATATAATTTATGTATAAGAAGCAAATATAAATGAAACTCTGCAAAACAAATTCTATATTACATAAAATAACAAATATTTAATGCTCTTTAAAGAGAAAATTAGATTTTTAATGCAGTGTTCATATACCATAAATCTCCAGAGAAAATATATGTTAGTATTTGATACTTTTACATAAATAACGATAAAATGACAATGTTAACTATGCATAATATTTTGCACAGCATCTATACTTCACTAAGGTATTCTCACAAAGGAGAAAATTCATTTCTGGGAATTTCCAAACAAGCAAAATTTCAATAGCAACATTAAGCTGATAAAAAAGTTCCACAAATTTCAGTCGAAACCATGCAAGAAAGCATCCTTCCAGCAGATTCTATAAATTTTTAAGTATACTAACTTGCAAAAAGAGTAGGACATGTTACTTTATCACCGGAAAGGTCAGGTTTTTGTGTTTGCTTGTTACCTTCAACGAAGGATGTTGTTCGAGGTCTCCCGCTCATAGTAAATCCGAACGTGCATCCAAGCTCACATTCTTAGGGAAAAAAATTTTTCTCACATATCGTGGTTAAAATTAAAAATAAAATGACCAATGGATTGCTTCAACACTACGTTTTTCGTAATAAGTGCATTTAAAACAGACAAGGTAGCACTTTTAACTTACAGGCCTTTTGTAGATGGAACATAAATACAGCACTACCAGAATAAAGCTTCGTAACCAAGCCTAATAATGAATTTCATGTTTCAAAGACTTAAGCTACAGTATTTAACAAAATTAAATTTTTCGACGTGAAAAGTGCTGCATCAAAGACAATGACCCTATACCGAACTTTACGTCACTGCTGTGAACAGTCTTCTTGCAAAAGCTTTCTCGTTGAGCGATAAAAAGGTTAGCCGTAGGAGGCGCTATAAACAGGTAAAATACAATTTTTATTGTTGTTATGGTATTTTTAAAGTTTAATTTAAAAAAGGTAAAGATTTAATTTTTGGAATTAAAAACTTTTAATGAATATAAAATATCTTATGAATCAAAATTCAATTTTGAGGATATTTTATGGAAAGTTATAGAAATTTACGAATATATTTTAAACACGTTTCTTGAATAACATGAACCTTGAAATATCATGAAGTATATTTTTCATAATCAGCCTATCCGATGTAGCAGCTATTTTGTAAGCATATTTATAAATTTATTTCAGTTACTGAAAAAAATAATGTATTTTGAAGGGAAGAAAAAGAGATGCTCATGCTAACTCTTGCTTAAATAAGCAGGAGAGATCAATAAATATTATTTCGCTAAAAATTCAAATCTGATCTCACAATCGTTGAAAGAGCAGAATCTATTGATAATGCAGAAAATATGAGCTAAACATGAAATACAGTTAATTTCTTAGCATAAACAGGAGTAAAATAGCTAATAATAATTGCTCAAATGAATGCGGAATTGCTAAAATACTAAACCATTGTTAAAAAAATAAATATTTACTTAAAAAATAAAACTTCCAAGTTATAGATAGAATTTTAGATTAGAAAAGAAATATGTACACCAAGTTTCATCTGTGAACAATGCCTCAATTCAGCCCGCTTTGAATGCCCCGTCTCATCCTGCTTTGAACAACATCTTGTTTCAGTTACCTCATTCCGCAATTGAGCTACAAAACACAACTTGAAATAATTTCTCTGGCAAATTAGAGAGACCTCATCACCAAAGCTTTAAATTTGGCTTCTTTTTTAAAAGAAGATGCTGCTACCATTTTATAGACGTTCTGCATTAGAACTGCGGTGTGAAGAAACATCACAAAGGGCAGGAGAGTTTCTTCAGGAACTGGCGAATAATACCGAAAAATTAAATTATTTAGCATTTCTAGATTGCTCCTGAGAATTTAAAAACAAACTAAATCTTCAATATTTTGTCGATGCCATTAGATAATGCAACATGCAGCAAGTATTATGGATAACTGATAGCTGGAAGATTTGAAGAGAACGCCAATGGATGTTATGAAAAGTGGAGCAGAATGTCGTTATAAAAACAGTGTAGCATTGGCTTCAAATGGAACAATGTTCTTCATGTGAGAAATATTTGTTCAGCGGCATTCATCTAAAGCATTAGAATTCTAACAAAGAGGACTTTTTCGATTTAAGTTATTGAAAGTAAAACTCTATACTTTTAAAAAATCAGCTGATTGATGATGTATAAATATTGACCTGTTCATAAAGTCAGGTGATGAGAATGAACAGAACTTACATCATTATGAGATATTCTTCGGAAAACAGCCTTGGTGGCGCCAATTTGGCTCCTCTTAGGATATGGGAGACTAATAAACTAATGACTAATAAATTAATAAAGTTATAACTAATAAACTTATGTATGTTTATAATTATACCTTTTTCACTTAGAAATACATAAAGTTTTATTTTGTTTTATAAAGCGATTAAAAATAACATAAATATTTAAAATGTACTTAATTTTTAAAATTGTACGGCGCAGTTGCAAAGTGGATAAAGAATGGTAGAGAATTTTGATGAATGATATTTATGTTTGAGAAATGGCAATAGGAAATATTCGTCTTAAAAAAGTTAAAATTCTGTTTTCAGTTTGAATTAAATGTGTCTTTTAAGCGTTGACAGTTAAAAATTTTTGGTATGTTTTTTTTTTTGGTCTTAAAGAAAAAGAAAAGTTTTCAAATTAATAAATAAACAGTGTAAAATTTCCAGATTATATAAAAAATTTGCTCGTTAATTTAAAACATTGGTAAAATTCAGGCGTGGTATTTATAACTTTTGAAGTTTATACTAACACCGTAATCTAATTTTTCCGTATAATATTGTATTTTTAATTGATTTAAAATATTGGATAATATAAGAAATTGATAAAATTGTCTGTGTGTCGTACTATATTATTTTTAAGTTGCATGTAATTAAGTTTTATACATTTCTTCGTTTTGTGTTATTAATTGTATTCCATTCTTTAGACCTGTGGTATGAAATGTGTATTTCTTGGATACTGACATGTGAAATCAATTTCAAAGCTAATTTGAGTGCTGGAATACTGTAATCTTCTTGACTGTTGATGGTACTATCTTGCTAAAGAATGGCCATTCCTCAGTTTCTGAATGGGAAACTTCAAGAAGGTAATTAATTATATTTTCTTTCTTTCAGACAAATATCTTATTAAAAAATTAATTTGGAATAAAATTGATTGATAAATATCAAAGAGACCTATTTTATAGTATTTTAAATTGAGCCTTCATTAGCTACTAAAATGAATTCTTCCCTATCTCAAGTAATTAAGAGATTTCCTTCTATTCTAATATCCTTTTATTTGGATAATTATATGAACTGTCATGAATGATATAAATGGTTTATGAATACAGTAGAACATATTTATTTATTCCATGCTTAATGATGCATGAAAATGTAGCCTTTATTTTCATTGTCTTTTAATGCATATAACTATAAAGCTTAAAATGTTTTACTGAATATTTTGCTTGATAAATTAAGTATGCGATGTAAATTTTTATTTACTTATCGTTATTATGCTGGTAAACAAATGTTAAATTTCATTAAAATAGTAAAAGATATATAGAATATTGTATGACAGATATGTAGATTAAATCACTGAAATTAATAATTATTCTGCATGCTTGAGGTTGAAATGTTATATCTTGCATGTTTATTTATTTTGGGAAAATAGAAAATGTTTAATAAAGATTGTTAAATGGGAAATGTTATAAAGAACTGAATTTAAATATTTCCATAATCAGGATATAACAGAATGATTTATTATCAAGATTATATAATTAGGTAAAATCCTAGTATAAGGTGCAGCCTTGGCACGATTTTGAAAATTATCGCCAACACCAAAATGACCCGTTTAACTACTCATTGTATATGTCCCATTTAAGCCAAATCCCTTGTGCACCGGATACTAGGATCAAACCTATAATTATTTGTCAATATATTTTTTAAGGGGGTGGGAGTGCTTTTGAATGATTATAATAAAGATTCATTTAAAATTTTTATTTTTATTACATGAATGAACAGTTTAAATTAATTAACATTTATGTAATTGCTTATTGTTAGTATAAAGTTATAATCAGTACTCTTCTGATATCACAACTGGATGAACACATACATCTATATATACATTTCTGAATCCGGTTGAAGAGTACCATAATGTTAACTGTAGCAGTGTAATCTAAATCTGTGTAAGAAAAATTAATTTTACATTGTAGTGATATGAAAACAATAGTGGAATTTTAATGTCATTTTATAAGGCCAATTTTGTCTGTGTAAAGGAATTTTGAAACGGTAATTTAGTAATTTATAGTTTGTAAAATATTTTAGCTTATTAAATATCTTCAAAAAGATTTTTCGATGTATTATAATGCATATGAATAAAATGTCCATTATATCTCGTATTCCTTGTTATTAATTTGTTATTTATTTATTTATTTATTTTGTGTGTGATTATTTCTCAATGCAATTTGTTTATGCTTGAATATTAAAACTTTACATAATTAAAATATTGTTTGTTATGAATTATATATTTCATTTAGAATTGCAAAGCAGTTCTCTGATTGCTGATGGGAGTTTCGCATCAGATGAGAAAAGCTGTTCTGCCAATTCATCTTTTGCAGGTTCTCCATCAATAGATAAGGAAAGGATTTTGAGATCTAGTGCTAGTTCTCGGGATGAATTCTGGGATGCACTGAGCTCCAACTATGATTACTTAATGGATGATGGATTAATTGCAACTTGTCGAGTAAGTTTTTTTTGGGGGGGGTCAGGTTTATTTAACACAATTTTGATTTAAAGCAATTAAAATATGTATTTAGTTCTCTTTTTACATGATATTTAGATTTGATTGAGTTCAGATAGTAAGTTAAGAACTTGTCCATTTTAGTTTCATTCTGGAAAAATATTTCACTGAAAAAAAAAAAAAAAAAAAAAAAAAAAAAACTGAGGCTTTTTAACAAAAATTTAATTACTCATATTTTATTAAATGAACAAATAATATAAAGTGACATCATTGAGTTAAATTTAATACATGCCTTAATCTCTGTCTTATTTTTTGCCTTTAAAGTTATAATTGTTTTGATATTTAATACAAAATAAGTAAATAAAAAAGCATACTTTCTGTAATTTTAGAAATTTTCTACATGTAATATAAATTTACTGGGGGAAAATGGGGGGATAAGTAATATGTTTTTCAGCATCTCCTTCACAGCAATAATTTAAATTTCTGGTTTATTAGCTGCAAGTGAATATTACTTAGTGAAGTGAATGTAATTAAGACACAATAAACACCGAATAAATACTAATTCAGAAGTCAAACAACAAAAATCAGCGATATATTTACAAAATTTTCACAGGACTAGTTTCGATGGTTTTACCGAACCACCATCCTCAGCTGCAAAACCGCAAATGAACAAGATAGGAAATAATGATTAGGTAAGATAAGTGTAAATATAATGCTGATTTTTGTTGTTTGACTTTTGAATTAGAAGTGAATGTACTTGACTATAGTGTAGCATGATTCTAACTGAGCTGTAAGACTACTGAACATTGGTAACTGAACTCAGGTTTAAATCTCCGTGAAAGGCCTGGGTGTATTAAAGTTGACATAGTTTTTCCATGTGTAATAGAAATATTTCCCTCAGAAAATCCTCCATGAAGGTATCCTTTTCCTTAGTCAGATAGCCCTTACATGCTTTATCATATTTAAAACAATCGCATAAGCAGAAAGTGAAAATATATAAAATTTATGTGAAAATATAATGGAAGATTTCTTTTACAGATTTTTCTTTTGCAGCTGAAATTGCATATTTACTGTGTTTATATATTTATTTTTGTTCTGTTTGCTTCAATGTGTTATGCTTTTATTGTATGTTTTTAATAGGTCTTAAAGCTTTCATGAAATAACGGAATGGAAGCTATTTTTCCCGAAATTATTGAATATTAAACTGCTGAGAATGTTTAAATTTTCATGTGATAACATTATACACTGCTAAAAAAAAATTTGGCTGATCTTTAGAATATGGTAACTGGTAGTTTGGCGACATTTTGGAGGCGATAAAGGTTACTACCTGGGACTTTGGTAATAACGTCAGCAGTACTCAGTTCCGATTACGCATTATTTTGTGTGAGGGAAATGAGAGATCATGGGATATGTCATGTGATATTAATGGACGAATTACGGTTCTTTAATCGGAAAAGGGGGGAAATTGGGAAAAAATCTGGAAATTTTGTATTTGGCTTTATTCTGTGTTGTGTGAAACAGTGTTCATTAATTTTTGGATCCCATGGCCCTAACTAAAGTGAATTCGAAATGGGTATTTAGTGGGATTGAAAGGGGTAGTAATAAGGTTGTGCGAGATAGAAGTAAAGATGTTTTATTAAGTTATTTATTTTACCTGGTACCTTGCTGTGAACTATAAGTATGATTTTAAAGATCCTGAAACAGAAATAAGAAAAGTTTATCGGACACGTAATCAAGATTCTGAAGAAGATTAGATTCTGAAGAAGTTAGTATTTTTAATTATTTGAGGATATTATTTTTATGCATTGTTCTACATGTAAGGTGGAAGTAAAGTAATTTGCGTAAACGTGCATGGAAATAATTTAAAATATTGACACTAAGTATTTGTAACCATTTGTAATGTTTGCGGTATGAATTAGTTAGTGACGTTTGTAATATAATAGATAATGTAGAGGTAAAAGTTTTGGATATTTTATTTATTTTATACGGGGAAATGTTCATATTTGGAAAGGGTATATACTTTTTTCGCGATCAGGTAACTTCATATATGTTCATTTTACCGGGTTTAAAGATTCAGAAAATTGTTATGCATTTTCGTGAAATTTTTCTAATTTATGAGAAAAAAGCAGTGTACATGGATATAGTGAAGAGTGTGCGCAATGCCATTTTTGTGCAATTCTGGGATTTTAAGTAAAAATGAGTCGACGTGTACATAGTTTAGTGATATTTTAATTAAATGATAGTTATTTTGTGAATTTTATGTTTGTAGGAATTTGGTATACGTTTTAGTTGAAGTAAACGTGCATGGAAATAATTTAAATATTTGACACTAAGTATTTGTAATGTTTGCGGTATGAATTTGTTGGTGACGTTTATAATATAATAGATAATTGAGAGGTAAAAGTTTTTGGATATTTTATTTATTTTATACGTGGAAATGTTCATATTTGGAAAGGATATATACCTTTTCGCGATCAGGTAATTTCATATATGTTCTTTTTACCGGGTTTAAAGATTCAAAAAATTGTCATGTATTTTCGTGAAATTTTTCTAATTTATGAGAAAAAAGCAGTGTACATGGATATAGTGAACAGTGTGCACAATGCCATTTTTGTGCAATTCTGGGATGTTTTTTTAAGTAAAAATAAGTCGACGTGTACATGGTTTATGTGTATGTGTTATTTTGAAAAACACGTAAGGAGTATGGTATTGTGCATTTTTTCCCAATTTTGCAGTGAATATTTGTCATGATTAAGCAGTTTTGTTAGATAAAATTTCTAGCATAAGTGTAATTCGGCTAGTAGATTGTTGGAAGAAGTGTTCAGTAGATAAAAAGAAAAGAAACATGTCTTTACTTCGTGAAGACAAAATGGCGGCGGGAAAAAGAAATAGAGGTTTGCTGTAGGAGAGTTGGTCGCCAAAAAATCGCCAAGTTACCATAATGTAAAGATCAAACAAAATTTTTTTTTTTGATGAAATGCGAAGTTAAGAGGTGCAGACGGATTGATGATAGAATGAAATTATGAAGTTAGACTGAAGCAAGTTAGATCACATTTACATTTAACAATAGGCAATCAGAGTATTGTGATTTTCCATTTGTTAAATTTTACAAAATAGGACTAAATATAATGAATAAAATTATCATAGCATGAAACAGTTATCATTGATAAATTTAACAAATACAGAAAGTGAAGGAAAGTCGTTAGTCTCAGATTATCGTTCAAAATTTCTGGTAGATAAAAAAACTCTGAATGTGCAGGCATACTGTGTTGGAAATGTTTAGATTATTATATTTTTTGACAAGAGCAAATTTTATTTAAATTAAAGTTTTAATTTTTTGACAAGTTTTATTTAAATAAATTCCAAAGCTCACTGACGTTATTAAAGTTTAAAATGTCAGTTTAATTGTTTAAATAGCTACATGAAATTACTTAATTTATGGAAGGAATATTAAAGTATTAGTGCACTGAATTCTCAAGGATATACATATTTATTGCAAACATTTTGGCGCTTGAATTATGTGAGTAACACCATGTATTTCGGTCAATTTTTTTTTTTTTTTTTTCCAAATCAAATGGAAGAGGATAAATCAGTAAGAAAGAGAAAACTTACTGATTGAACTTTCAGCATAATTAATCTTTATGTCCATCATCTTAAACTCCATGCTGCTGCATAATAATAAACAAAAAAATTAAATGAAGGTGCTGGTTAGACATTGTAATATTTTAGCATCTACAATAAGTCTATGTTACTGTATGTGTATGATAATCTGTTACTGTGATGGGAGGTAGTGTTGAATGTCTGATTTATAGCTTGAAAACTGTTATATTTAGAAAAATCAAGAGTGTTTCAGATCTCTAAATTAAAGGAGTTTAGTATCTGTAGAGGAATGTCTATAATATTCTGCTGTCAAATGATTCTTTCCAAATGTAATTTTTTATAATTTTTCTTAATTTAAAAATGATAATGATTTTAAAATTCAGAGTAAATAGTAATAATTTCTTTTTAATTTGGAAAATTAATGCCGACTTTTTATGTAAATGAATAACAAATGAATTGTAATAATTTTTCCTAATATAATCCCACTCGACTATTTTTAGGAGGCTAGCAGTGATTTATCCTTAGATGATGAAAATGAGATGCCAGAAGCAAATTGTTGGAGCTTTACTCAATTTATTGAGCAGTTTAAATGGCTTCATGATTTGCTGCATAATTTACAAGTAGCAAAAGCAGATGATAGTTGCAAAACTAGATGTGTAAGTTGAATATATTTTGAAAAGTAATGACTATTACATTTCTTTGTTTCCTTAATATCTGTTAAATTATTTTTTACAACTTTTGAACTATTTTTAAACTTTGCTTTTTTTTTTTTTTTTTTTTTCGCTTCAGGCTATCTTAGAAGAGCAGCAGAAGATTGCATATTTGTGTAAGCGATTTAATGAACAAGCTCAGAAACTGAGTAAGAAATATCCTGACATGAAAGATGAGGTGTATCGTCATCTAAACCTTTTAAACAACAAATGGAAAGCTGTTGAACAATCCATAAATCCCAGTAAGGCCAAATCACCCTCAAAAGACTGTGTCTTTAATGGTAAGTTTCTTTTACGATTTGCCATTCATTTTATTAGCAATGATAAGCAGGTATTAAGTTAACATATTAGCATTAATAAAAACACTAGTTATCCCACCTTGTTTGACACAATCCTGTTTATAAATGAAGGGTTCTTAAATTTAAAATCATGTAATTTAATTTTGTGCTATGCAAATAAACATTTCTTGGAATAATAGTTAAGGGTATGTGGCATAGTTAATATGTAAATATTGAAATTTTTACTCTCTAGATAAAGTTAGGTGTACCTACCTAATAATAGGTAGGTCCATTGACTCCATCAAATAAATGTTAAGATATTTGCTAAAGATATGCTAGCTATGATCATGGATGTAAGTAAGATGACATATACCAGATGTCATGGGAATGCTATGGAATTTAAAGGCTTGTACAAAAATCAGAAATTCAGACCTACATAGGCCTGGCACTTCAGGGGAAGAAACTAATTTTTGAATTTATTTTATATAGATAGTTGAATAACTTAACTATCTATATAAAATAAATTCAAAAATTAGCAATTCAAAAATTATCAAAAATTATTCAAAAATTATTATTATTCAAAAATTCAAAAATTATTATTATTATTTATAAATAAAAACAGCATAAGAACTGAAACCATTCACATTATACTAAACTTTCATCTTTTGTCAGATTTTCCCCTCTCAGAATTTCTGAAAGATTTGAGTGTTCTTATTTGTCAGAATCAGGTTGATATACTTTATTACTGTTGAGACAGTGTGATTAAAAAAAATAATGATAATTTGAGATTTCTTGAACTTTGCATCAGCTTGAATTTTAGAATTTTCCCCCATCTGAATTTCTGAAAGATTTGAGTGTTCTTATTTGTCAGAATCAGGGTCGTATATTTATTACTATTGAAACAGTTTAATTTAAAAAAAAAAATTAGTTTGAGATTTCTTGGACTTTGTATCAGTGGGAATTTTACAATTTTACAGTTTTCACACTTTGTACGTGACCACAGGCACTTTACTTTTTCTTCCCTCCCTATCTTTCGGAGTACTTCCTGTAGTGGATCTCTTCACCTTCCTTTATTCATGTTCCTAGAAGCGAATTGAGAAAATTATCGAAGATCACTGCCATCGTCTCCTTCATAATGGACAGAATGCTTACTTCCATGACCCTACAAGGATCTTTTATGGTTTGGTTATGTCATCTCTTCACCATCAATCTCATGCTTTTGTTTTTTTAGTCTTGGAAGTTATAATAGTTATCATTTTCTTATTTTTTTATTTCTCGCATGAAAATGTGTAAATCAATTGTCAGGATTTCGTTTTATTCTTAATGAGGTAGACTGGGAATACTTCTCATCTCTTGCATAGAGAGCTCGCAGAAAAATGATAAAAGATATGCATATTGATGATGCAGTGAAAGCAGTTGCTAATATTATAGTAAAAGCCCAACTATCCACCACTCAGCTAACTAGAAAACTCAAGTAACCAGAATATTTTAGAAAAGAATGTTTTCCCTGAAATATTTAGTAAATGAGAGATTATATAATACCATTATAAGCTTATTAACACGTGGCTGCCATACAGTTTGATTTAATACCAATAATGGTTAAGCATGACATCACAGCACAATCATAAATCGTTCAATTTGGTTTAATATGAACTCGATTAATTCTAAAAAAGCTAGTTTAATTTTTGTAAAGAAGGATGTAAGTTCTATTTTTTCCTTGCATTTTGGGAGAAAAAAAAATTACTTTGAACAGTAGGAAGTTGAGTTATGTAATGGTTACAGGATCTGGCCATAAAAACAAGCAACAATATGCAACTTTAAAGTCATATGAAGAAGAGCACTGCGGCATAAAATGTTATGATAAATGATCTAAGTATTTTATATGTTATATCCATAATTTGCATCTCATTATCTAACTAAATAAAGAGCTATCTGTTAATTTAAACCTCTGTGCTGGAATGATTTATGACATTTGTGCCAAATTTCACGTTTGATGGGATTTCATAATTGGATCAGATGTTTCCCTTACATCTTTAAGCTTACAGGTACTTTTCCATTTTGTCGGCGTAACCAATAAAGTCGCCAATAATGGTACAACTGATGCCAAACAGAATATCCTTGCTGGTAACCTTTTACACCTCATTTTCAAATAAGTCGCAGCCATTTCTTATCAGATTGATTGTTTCTTTCAATACTGGCATACAATTACGTAGAATTTTTATCCAGATAGTTCAATTTTATGCCCTAAGGCCATTCACGGTAATTAGTCAATTAGGATGCAATCACATTGCTCATCCGAAGGCGAAAATGTAAAGTCGAGGGCTAAATTCATCAGTTTTAATGAGAATGCACTAGCGAAGTAAAGCACTGCAGTTTTACATAATTTCTGAATAAACTATTCGTACGAATTGAAGTAATTCTTGCATTTAAACTTGTATTTCAAATTAAGAGTTAGCTTGAAATTAATGTAGATAATTACTGAGAGAATTAGATTTTTGTAGCGTAGTTTGCGTGAGATGAGATCACTTAGGGTCACGTGATATAAACCGGCAAATCAGGATGTTGAACCATGAAAGCATAGTAAATTCTTAAATTAATCTCTTTTTACAAATTTATTGTCTTTATTTATTGGCTTTTTAGAAAATTTTAAACGATATTAAAATGTTTATGCCTTCAAAATAAAAAATTCTTAGAACTAACATTTGCTAAAATTTTTTATATGTATGTTGTTGGCAATAAAGTCTTGCGCCGGCAAAACGGAAAAGTACCGACTTACTTCTTGGATCTTGGATCATATCTTTACTGCTGGCTTTAGCTACTAGGAGCTCTTACCAGTAAATTATCATAATACTATAGGTCATTAAAGTTAAAAATTTAAGAGGTGTATTTAAAAATATACTGCACCCGAAGGAGAGATCAATGAACTCATAAAATAAATTTTGCTAAATTGCATATCATGGGTGACTTTATCAATGGCGGCGAGAGGCGAAATGAAAGTCTAAGCTTTTGGGTGAGTCTAGAAGAGCAGAAACACGTGATCAGCGTCCAGCATTAAGATTGGTCGAGGAGTCAGAGTTCAAAAAATGAAGTTTTTTGTAGTTTTTGGAAATAAATAAATTTCAAACATAGTAAAAGCATTATCTATCTGTGAATTTAAGAGTCCTCTGTCTTTTGAAACACTTGAAAATCTTCTAAACTTGCGATATAATCATTAAATAAATAGGAAACTGTAAAAGGTGAAAATGAGCCCATGTGGCTCACTAGGGCCAATGAGATGAGAGTAAGCACTTGGTGTTGACCACGAACTTTGATTTTAAAACACACGATATAAAATAGTAAAAATAAAAAGTAAAAATCTTGATTAGATAAGTAGTAAAATGAAGAGTTCATCTAATCGATGAAAAATAAAGTCCTAGTTTTGCAAAGTTTTTCTTTCTTAAATAGTAACTGAAGGGTAATAGTAAAATAAAAATTTTGTACAATAATATATACTACTACCACTTAGAGAGGTCTTTTCACTACGTTCTCAATAGTAGGGTCACTGGCTTACGAAATATATTGGCCATTATATCTGAAAATTTCAAGAAAGTATCTTTTCATAATTTTAGAGCAGACATTTTTCATATACATTCACTTTTCTAACATGAATTCAATTTTTTATCCCCTCAACTTTCTGGACTTTTAACATATCTGGAATTCAGCATTTCCGAGCTTTTCAGCTAGGTGAGCTTTTATTGTACAGTCAAAAGTCGTTAATTCGGAATGATCTATAATCCGGACCACAAAACTAAAAACTTTCTGCGCATGCGCCGCGTTGACACATACGCATAGGCGTTTACGCGTGCGCGTAAGACCTTTTACGACTGTGCATATGAGTGTGCGCAAGTGCAGAATACGTTTTCACGTGCGCGTTTTATGTATAATGAACGTATAAGCTAAAATTATCTAATTATCTATTTCAGTTAATGTTGATGATTGCGTTGTTCCTTAATTTTCGAATTGGATCGGCTTATTATTTTTTGCAGACCGTAAGAGCAATTTTATAAAAGTAAGCTTAAACTTTCGATTATATCAAATAGAATTTCCGATATATATTTGTTAATATGTAAAGGATCTAAAGCGAAAGTATGTTCTGAAATCCGAAATCTGTTTATCAATTTCACGCTGCTCGGCGGGGGAACGCCGCGGCGGGCGCGTAATGAAATGGAAGTTGATCTGTCAGCACTATCCTTATCTTCAGTGCAGATGTTTTTTATTTTTTTTTTGTTTTTATTTTATTTGGCTATAATTCCTTACCAAATGTAGTTATTTCATCTCGATATGCTCCGTCTTTGATATGATTAAAACAAGTTCCTCGTCATTATAATTCGCTTCCGATAGCGAAGAAAAGTGACAGAGGTTATTGAAAACGAAAAAATTTCGATTGACAAATTAGTCAGTGTTCTTGACACAGCAATTATAGGACTTGAACAGCGGAACTTTGTAACTGAACAAGAAATTATGTCTGTTTAATAGAATTAAAGAGAAAGTATTATCACATGAAACGAAGCAAAACTTAAACAACTTACTTTGAAAGGAATTTTTATTTAAGTAAACAAATAAATATTAAGCCTTTTCTTTTTGCAAATTTTGATACCCTTTAGATCATAACTGTTCTTTATTTCATAAATTACGGTTTCATATTTTTAATTTTAGAATTTCTGCATGCAATCTTACAAGATTAAACTGATGATCTATAATCCGGAAAAATCGATAATCCGGAATCGCCGAAGTCTCGACGAGTCTGGATTAATGACTTTTGACTGTACTAGCTACAATCTGTATATCTGTGATAGCAAGAAAGCTACCTAAATATTCAAAACTGTGGTGGAATTCTGAATGCTATGAAATGCTGCTGAGACAACAAAGAAAGCTGGGAGAGCTTTTTATAGATACCATAATTTGTCAAACTTTGTAGCCTTACGCAAGAAAAGTAAGACTGCAAAGCCAGAGCAATTCATAGA